GCGCTCTCTGGTGGGCGCTGAGCACAAAGGTTGACGGTTTTTCTGCTATAAAGCGCGGTTTGAGCGCCACTTTTTCTAAGTCTACACCGTAAAAATGGCTGGTCAGTTCAACCTAAAATGACCTCATGTAGTAACAAATCATTAAACTAGTTTTCTGCAACGTAAGTAAACTGAATGAACCAAATTTCATTCAAAGTGAACTTAATCCAAGCACGTAGTTTGTCCTGTCCGATTGGAAATTTAAGTGTACTTATTTCAGTGAGAAGAACAAAGTCAACAAGACGAACAATATGAGAGCGTGGTGCTCAAGGAGTTACCCAGAATTCCTAGCGATTTCTGTTTATTAGATCTCATGTTTGGTTCAGATGTTGTTTTCAAACAAACAGCACGTTCTCACGTTATGTGTAGGTTAAATGCAAGTTTGGATGCACTTCCTAACCATGAGTATGTTTACAGTTTAACAACTTAAATGACTGTCAAAAAATCTACACTGTAAAAAGTGGCTCGTCAGTTCAACCTACAAAATTACTTAATGCAGTAACAAGCAATTAAACCCGTTTTATTCAACTGCTAAAATTACATTGTTTGAAAGAATCGTTCATTAAAAGTACTTATTTATGTTGAATAAAACTAGTTAATTTATTTATCTGAAGTATTTTTTAGCCATTTTTTACAGTGTACTGTTGTTAGAGTATGTAACTCTGAAGATTCTCAGCTTTGTGATCATTACAATTGTCAATATCATCAAAATTCAAAAATTTAATAATGACGTAAAAGTTCAGGTTTTTGCAGCAGTGTAGCTTGTGACGTGATCAAATACTTTGTTCGTTAAACTTAATAATTAAAAATTGAATTCATTTGAGGCAACGAATCAAGTCTAATATTTTGAGTAAACTTAACTTATCCCAGTTTACAGTGTGGTGCCGCTGTCCCCCCGCACACCTCCTGCCCCCCAAACCGTCATTAATTTCTCTTAATGAAGGATCATGTCTTGCCAGTACCTTGTCCAGCTCGCGAGTTTCCTCCGCAGGTAGCGCTGACCTGACATGCACTGTAAAAATAATCAGACTTAAAAGTAAGAAATCTGATTGGCTTAAAATTGTGAGTTGACTGAACTTCTAAGAGTAAGTAACAGAACAATAATCTGTGTTTCACATTCTGTACATTTGCTCAAAATATTAACCGCTTTACTGACTTTAAGTTAAAACACTGAATCATTTTTACAGTCTGATTTTACAGATAACTCGCCAAACGCGCGCTGAATGGCCGCGAATTGTTTGGCAGCATTTTTAAAGGTAGATGTTATTAAACGTTTCTTACATTTCCTTAAAATTACTTACATTAATCAATGCTTAAATTTCATTTTTATGATCTGATTCTATTTTATGAACATTTTACTGTGTTTTGTTTACGTTTTTAAAGTTTTTTTTTATCTTTTATTGTTTTTCACTCTTAAGCACGTTGTCGTTATTTTTCATTTTGATGTTCCTTTTGCTTTTTTAATGTAAAGCTCGTAGAATTGCCTTTGTGTCTGAAATGTGCTACATTTCTAAAAAAATATGGTTCTTCAAGGTTTTCTTAAAGTGGGAATGGTTTATTTAGAACCATTAGTTCTATATAGAACCAGTTCTTTGCATTGTGAAATGGTTCTTCAAACTGATGGGGAACGTGTATACAAGCTTGACATCGTAGCAACAGCAGAGTCCTTTTTGGTGTAATATAGAACCGTTTCATAAAGGATCTATATACACTAAACTAAACACATTCTCCATCAATCTGAAGAACCATTTTACCATGAAAAGCACCTTTGAGCATGAAATGGTTCTATTTATTCCAAAAAGAACTATTTGTACTAAAGAACCCTTTAAGAACCATCTTTTTAAAGTGCGTGTATAAATAAACAAGTGCCGCATTTTTGCGTATGACCAAAGTAGATGAAAAAAAACAAGAAATAATTAAAAATAAGAATTTTTTTTTTCTGCTGACAGCAACGCAAAGGAGCGCTTTGAGAGAATCTGAACATGCGTCTTCTTGAGCGCCCCTTAATCTGCTAAAGCGCTACAGATGTTACAACTGATAAGTGGCAGCAAATCGCCACTTGTGTTGGAACTACTTTTTCTGGCGGAAGAAATGGCCCATTTTAAAAACCCGTGCAAAACTGTTGTACAAAAGCAGCAGAAGGCGCGAGGTGGTGTGATGATCTACTGCCACGATCTTCACCACAGCACGCAACATCTCTTTAAAAAGATTTTTCTTCAAGGTTCTTCAATAAAAAAAGAACCATTTGTATGGTTAAATTGTGCTTTTTTTTGGTTCTATGTAGCACCAAAAAGGGCTCTTCTGTTGTTACAAGCTTCACATCGTAACAATAGCAGAACTCTTGTCAAAAAGGTTTTTATATACAACCGTATACAACACATCCTCCATCAATCTGAAGAACGATTTCACCATGCAAAGAACCCTTAAAGCATGCAGAGCTCTTTGAGTGTTCATGGTTCTATGTAGAACCATTGTTTTTACTAAATAACCCTCGAAGAACCACGTTTTTTTTAAGAGTGTACTGCTTTTATAGGAAAGGAAGAAAGGAAAGTAAAGACGCATCAAACATTTGTTCAAATACATGTGTTTATAACGTGGGCAGTTTCCTCCGCTGAAAGAAGTAGTTCCATTCAAAAGTTGGAAAACATGGCAATTAGGGACAACGACAGGTTGGGGATTTGACATGTACTCTCCTGAATCTGATTAAAGGACAGAGAAAAAGAGAGAATCTAAATGTTGTCTTTTCCAGTGTTGTATTTGTTAAAGGATGGTTGATGGTTAGCAGCAGCTCAGAGACCACTGCGGTCGCTTTGCAGCGGGCTGTCAGCGGAGTGACGCAGGTTTGGTGGTAAAACTTGCTTTCATCAGGAGTAGAACAAGATCTGCTTAAATGCACCAAAGTGCAATGAATAATTTAACGAGGTATTGATAATAACAGCAATTCAAAAATCTTCCGCCAGGTAAAATAGTTCATTAACAGGCGTAATGGAATGAATGGACTCTATGAATGGCGCCATTGTTGTAAATAACGATGCATTAGTGCAGAATTCTCTGTATGCGGTAATATTTTTGCGCATATTTACTGTTTTAAGGTTTGATCGTGGCTCAGCCAAAACTCAGTGTTAGACAGAGGACCTCTTTAACTCCAAAGCCATAAGCTGCAGGGAGAGAAGCTGCTGAGAAACCCCAGAGGGTCGTGTGGGTGGTTGAGGTTAAAACGGAAGTGGTCCTGCAGCAGAACCTCAGATGTAGGTTTAGGGTTGATGGTGGGTTTGTGTTAGAGTTAGACTAGAAACTGAGCCAATGTGAATGGAAGAGAGTGTTCTAAACTGTAAAACATATGAAAAAATATGTAAAAAAATTATTTCATGCAATAAAAACCAAGATAACTGGATTCATTCACCTCAAATAAACACTCTGACTGAAACGACGCGAAGCAACATTTCAGTTTAGATTAATAAAACTAACATTTCACATCAATGCAATCCTTAAAATACCCCCATCCTTTTCAGTGTGGACAGAAGAGAACATTCAAAATCAACACGAGAACATTCTAGAACACTGAAGGGAGAAGAACATTCTAAAACAGTATGAATAGAGGAGAACATTCTAGAACACTGTGAAAGGAGAAGAGCAGTGTCAGTGGAATGAGAATAGAGGAGAATATTCCAGAACAGTATAAATGTAGGAGAACATTATAGAACCGGGGATGGAGGGGAACATTCTAGAACAGTGTGAATGGAGAAGAACGTTCCAGGACTGTGTGAATGGAGGAGAACATTCTCAAACACTATGAAAACAGAAGAGAATTCCACAAACAGTGTAAATGTAATGAGAACCGAGGAGAATATTTTAGAACAGTATAAATGTAGGAGAACATCATAGAACTGTGGATGGAGGGGAACATTCTAGAACAGTGTGAATGGAAAAGAACGTTCCAGGACTGTGTGAATGGAGGAGAACATTCTCAAACACTACGAAAAGAGGAGAGCATTCCACAAACAGTGTCAACGGAATGAGAATAGAGGAGAATATTTTAGAACGGTGTAAATGGACGAGAATAATCTAGAACACGGTTAGAGACTCAGCAACCACATCAACACAACATGATTGGGTGTTTGTTAGAGAACGTTTGCTGGAGAACATCAGGACAGTATTCTTTACAATTGGAAACTGGGTTTTGGGCTGGGGTTAGTGTTGGATTGTGGGTGAGGGATTAGGGTTAAGGGGTATTTGTTTAGGAAAAATGGAGAGTTTAGGGGTTAGGGTTTAGGGGTTAGGGGTTAGGGGTTAACAGTAACTCTCATACTTTTGTTGAAGACGTATTTGTAACACAGCCAAACTTCCTCAACACATGTTAGTGTTAGTGTAGTAGTGAAGTGTTTGTTTGAGTGTTGGCATAGTAGTGTAATGTTAGTGTTAGCGTTAGTAGCCCTAACTGTGTTTGTTCAGGACAGATTTGGAGCACAGCCAGACTCCATCAGTGTAGACTAGGAGTTAGTGTTAGTGTAGTATTTTGGTGGTAATGTTAATAACCCTAAATGTGTTTGTTTAGGACATATTTGGAACACAGCCGAGCTCCATCTAGTGTGAGTAAGGTGTCAATATAATAATTAGTGTATTATTGTAGTGTTAATGTTAATAACACTGAGTTTGTTTAGGATGGATTTGGAACACAGCCGACTTCCATCAGTGTGGTGTAGGTGTTAGTGTTAGTGTAGCACTGTTGCCTTAGTTATAATGTTACTATAAATAACCTTAACTGTGTAAATTTGGGACAGATTCAGGGTTTAGGGTCTAGGGGTTAGGGTTAATGAGATATTCGTGTCATAACCATCTCTGTTTGGGATGGATTTGGAGTCGAGCTCCATCAGCACAGGGGTAGGAGGTTGGGCTTTGTGTTGGTGAAGTGTTGTAGTGATCGTGTTAATGTTAATAACCCTTCCTGTTTGTTTGTTCAGGATGGATTCGGAGCGCAGCCGTGCTCCAGCAGCTCGGGAGATGGAGTCACCGTTCTTACAGAGGAACACACAAAACGCACAACACACACGGGAACCGGAGCAGTCCAGCAGCGAATCAACAGATACAGAGACCACAGGTACACACACACTCACACACACACACACACACACACACACACACGCACACTCACACACACACACACACACACACACACACACACTAACTCCAAATAATTCAGTAACACTTTAACTCTGTGTGGGCACTAAAGCACACCTGATATCCTGCACTCAGTATGATACTTTCACACAACACTGATGACGCACTAATGATACATTTATAACACCCTGATAACTCACCCAGAGTGATAACACACTACTGATCACTACCTCACTCTAGTTACCCAAAATTGTGTAATGAAGCAAATGTTGCAGAGAGCCAGTTTCATCATGTAAAAATCCTATATATAATGTAAACAGTGTTTAAATACCACAAATAGTGTAAGTAACGCTAATAGTGTAAATGGTGTTAATAGTATAAAATTATCAAAACTGTAAACAGTGTAAATAGTGTAAACAGTGTAAATGCTACAAGAATTTTAAATAGGCTGTAAATGATGTAAATAGTGTAAGGGCTATACAAAGTGCAAATAGTGTAAATAATGTGAAGGTTGTAAACAGTGTAAATAGTGTAATAGTAGTGTAGTATAATATTGTTAATAGTGCAAATAGTATAAAGTCTGTAAATAGTGTAAATAATGTGACAGTTGTAAACAGTATAAAAAAACTTGCACTATTTACACTATTAACATACTTCACCCTAGTATGTTAATAGTGTAAATAGTGCAAGTAGTGCAAAGGCTGTTAATAGCATAAATAGTGTAAGTAGTGTAAAGGCTGTTATTA